GGGATGTGAAGAAAGACAGTCTGTTCCATTTTAGTCAAGTTCAAGAATGGATTGAGCTGTAAATCTGTGTCCAGTATTGCCCTAGGAATACAAAGGTGAATACCACAGAGCTCCTCTTTGGGGTTGGGGCACTGACGAGGGAAGAGACTCAAGGAAAATACAGTGCAGTGAGAGGTGTGTAAGGGCACTGCAGGAGCATGGCGACCCTCCTGGCAGCAAAGAAGAGGAGCGACAATGTTGTTGGGGCAGGGAGCCTTTCTGGAGAAGGAAGAGAATGCAACCTGGAGCATGTCAGCAGGTGAAGAAAGAGAAGTGAGAACAACAGCAACTCGGGCACATATTCCCAGTTGGCGTGGAATGATGAAGATCACAAACACGTCAAAGCCACATTGACAGAAAGGATAAATGACAAATCTTCAGATTATATATTTTACTTAATTCTTACAATCCCAAACCAAGAAAACAGAACAAAAACAAAAAATAAAATAGGGCTAAAATAGTAATAGCAAGAAAAATTCATAAATTAACAAGCCTGGGTTGTGTTTCTATCACATGTCACATACAGGTATATTCTATGCATCTTTCTAAAGGTAGTAACTGCTTAAAATAAACAAGACAATGATATCTGATTTTTGAATGAAATCAAAATATGAGTGCATGAGTGCATAAATTAATAAGTGAATAAATGCATAAATGAGTGAATGAATATCATTAAGTGGTTTTGACCAAGTGAACTCTTTTGCATTTGAATGTAAAAATAATCAAGAAAATTAATTAATAGTGTATTCACAATTACCCCTTGAAAAGAGTAAAAATCCGAAACCGTGCAGGTATTCATCTCTACAATGTGTAACCAGAACCCACATTTGTAAATTTTCTCAATGTTCCTCTTTCAACTGTTAGTCTATACTCATGACAGTTTCTGTGTGAGATTTCCATGGGGTATGCCTGAAAGAATGTGAAGAGGAAAGAACAGTCTGTAAAGGAAGATATATCTGAAAATTTGAACATATTGAAATTGGTATATTTTAATGATTTCAAATAACACAGGAAAGGAAAGATGGTATAGCATTTAAGCTATAATATTTAACATTTACAGCTGTGACTATCAGTTTTCTCCCCATTTTATACTCTACACTATCAGCATATTCTGTGATAATAATGACATTAGGGCATCAATTTGAACATGTTGAAAGAAGAATCTTATTTTTACTTTTCCAGGTTAAAATAAACTATGTGGCAACACAAAAGTGTCAAGACACAATTGATATTTTATGTGCCTATAATTTCTTGTGCAATGACTCTGTGATCAGAGTTTAAAGATTGGCAGATAGATGGAGAGATAGATAATATAAGAAAAAACTGATACAAAGAAAATCTTTTCATACAGAAAAATAAAGTGTGTTAAATTAAAAAGTGGTAATGTTTAGGGAAGAAAAAATATTTTTCAAAAGGTATTCTTTCAGTTTTTTCTTTGCAGGTATCTTCTAAATTATCCAGGCTTTCTGCCAATTATATTGGCATAGTTTGGGCTCAAAGGGAAAAAAAGAGGGAAAAAAGAGCTAATGTTATTGAGTTATTCCTCTGTACCACTCACTGACATCTTTATATATAAAATTTTACTTAATCCTCTCCATCCCTCTTACACTGGGGAGAGTGTGGGTTGGGAGATGAGGAAACTGAGGCACAGAAAGGGGCAGAACAAGGCTTTCAACCCAGGCAACCTTGTTTCACAGCCAAGGCTCCCAACCATTGTGCCATCCATTGAACTCTCCAAATGACAAGATGTCAGAGCATGTGGCCAAAACACGATCAGGTTTTCTACAGTTAACAAGGAATGACCCAACACAGTCTCACGTCCTGTTGTCTGTCACTATGTTGGACGATGGCTTTTGGGGATTAATATTCAGTAGTTAATGTCTGGTTGGTTTAACACCTTGTTTTGCATTTTGTACCTTTTCTTTGTGAATGTTAACAATTTAGACCAAACAATAAAGAATAATGTAAGGATGGGTCAACAGAGCCCTAGATTTGATTCACTTTGTTCACCTTTTCTTGCACCTTAAGTAACTTGAATGCTTAGGTCTGTGCTACTTGTATTTGAATGGAAGTTTTAATTCATATCAAAAGAACTTTATTTAGTCAAGAATATGATTACATAATAAGTAGACTGTACCAAATCTGGCTTTTTTGCTCCAAATCAATGCTAGTCATGCATGTAGTAACAGTTTCTACTTTCTATATGGATCTATTTCCCAGTGGACAGAATATTAGTAGAATGTTTTCTGAATATAGGTTTATGTAAAACTACTATAATAATATTAATAAAACTAAAAGCTTGGCTATAAAAACAGTACAATTATTAATATTGTTACCACTAATGATGGTAACAAATCATGTAATTTGCTTGTAGTGAATGGTATTTTGGTATTTCTTGGCAAAAAAACTATAATTTCCCTCTTTGGCACTTTTTAATAAAATTCCTTCTGTTTCTGACTGAAGATACTGATTCATCTGTAAGACACTGAATTCTGAGTTTACCAGGCTTAATTTAACCCTTATGGTTCAGCCAGCTGACACATCTATTCTCATGCCACAGGCGTGAGAAGTTTTCTTCTGTAAGCCATGGCTCACGTTTCCTGTTCACACTGCCGCTGCAGCTATGCTCCAAGCTACAGGGCAACTGATAAGAAGACTTCCCAGTGGCATTGGCCATTGGTTGTCAACTAAGGGAGATTTTGTCCCCTTTCTCCCACTCCAGGGAACATACAGTGATATCCAGAGACATTTTTAGTTGTCACAGCTGGAGGGAGGTGGTACTGGTATGTAGTGGATAGAAGCCAGGGATGCTGTTAAACATCCTATAAACATCCCACAACAATGAGTTGTTCAACCCCAAATGTCACTACTGTGGAGGCTGAGAAACCACAAAGTGAGAGTTAGAACACAATGTTAAACGTGTTAGAGGTGGTGCTATGGAGTAGAGACAAGTGGGTTGAAAATACTAAATAAAGAGAGGGGTCTCATTTGGGTTGGTCATGATGTTATGACATGAACTTAACTCTGTGCACAAGGTTAAACAACACCAGAAAAAAGAACCAAAGAAAATTGGTTTTCTGATGCCTGAAATAATTACTGTTTCCTGGGAAATTCAATACCTTACTGAGGGATAATTAAGTCTTCTCTGCCTATGATTCTCCCTACACCCTGACTCCAGGAATGGAGCTGAGAAAATGGGCAGGGAGAGTAGCCAGCCTAGGAACCTTCTTCTTCCCTTTGGTCGGCCACAGAGCACATCCCTCTCCTAGTCTAAGATTATCAACTTTTCTTTCTTGGGCATGAATAACTTAGTGCCTTCTCCATGGCTCTGGGCTCTTCCAACTGAAGCTAGCAATAAGGTCACACAATGCACTAAGTCACAAAATGTATCCTGAAAGGTCCCTGGCAAGTATCTCAACTTGAACTTCAAGAACTAGGGTTGTGCACATGCTCAGCATCACTAGCCATCAGAGAGATGCAAATTCGCACCACAATGAGATACCACCTCACACCATCCAGAATGGCCATGACAATAAAATCAACAAACAACAAGTGCTAATGAGGTTGTGGAGGAAAAGGAACCCTAGTGCACTGCTGACAGGAATGCAGACTGGTATAGCCACTGTGGAAAACAGTGTGGAATTTCCTCAGAAAACTAAAAATGGAACTGCCTTTTGACCCAGCAATTCCACTGCTGGAATTATACCCTAAGAATCCTGAAACACCAATTCAAAAGAATTTATGCACCCCAATGTTCATAGTAGCACAATTTACAATAGCCAAGTGCTGGAAGCAACCTAAGTGCCCATCAGTAAATGAGTGGATCAAAAAACAATGGTACATTTACACAATGAAATACTATGCAGCAGAAAGAAAGAAGGAGCTCCTACCCTTCCCAACAGCATGGATGGAACTAGAGAACATTATGCTGAGTGAAATAAACCAGGCAGTAAAGGACAGGTACCATATGATTTCACCTATAACAGGAACCTAATCAATAAGACAAACAAGCAAGCAACATATAACCAGAGACCACTGTTAGGAGTATATCCTAAGAACCCTGAAACACCAATCCAAAAGAACCTATGCACACCAATGTTCATAACAGCACAATTTACAATAGCCAAGAGTTGGAAGCAACCTAGATGTCCATCAATAAATGAATGGATCAAAAAAACTGTGGTACATTTACACAATAAAATTCTATGCAGCAGAAAGAAAGAAGGAGCTCCTACCCTTTGCAACAGCATGGATGGAACTGGAAAGCATTATGCTGAGTGAAATAAGCCAAGTGTTGAAAGACAAATACCATATGATCTCACCTTTAACAGGAACCTAAACAACAAAACAAACAAGCAAGCAAAATATGACCAAACACACTGAAATACAGAACAAACAGGCTGACAGGGACCAGAGGGGAGAGGGGAAGAGAATCACAGGGGAAAAGGGGAAGAATTCACAGGAACAAGTATGAAGGACACATGGACAAAAACTAAGGTGGGGGGGATGGGAGGGAGGGGGAAGCACTGGGCAGGTGGACAGGATTGGGCGTATAAGACAGAAAACTGTACTTGAACAATAATTAAATACATCTAAAAAAAAAAGAACAAACTGACAGTAACCAGAGGGGAGGGGATAATAAGGGAGAATAGGGGAAGGGTTGTCAAGGAACATGTATAAAGGACACATGGACAAAGCCAAAGGGGATAAAGTCCAGGGAGGAGGTGGAAATGGGTGGGGTGCAGAGGAGAGGAGGGGGGAAAATAGAGACAACTGTATCTGAACAACAATTAAAAAATAAATAAAATTTAAAAAAGGAAATAGGTTGTTCGAGTAACTGTATTTCACAATAAAACAGTGCCTGGGAAATGTGCTTACAACGGTACTGCTGTGATAGTCTCTGTGACTACCCTTGCGAGAACTTCCCAGGGGAAAACTGACTTGACCTTTTTTTAACTTACAATATATGGTGGGCACGATGATGTCACTTTCCATCTGACTGACGTGGTTCTTCACCAGGCAGCTGTAATTCCCAATGTCTTCTTTGGTCACTGGAGCAATATGAAGGATGTTGTTTTGAGGAGAGAAGGAGTTGGTGGAGCTTCTATGGACAGGTCTCCCATTTTTTAGCCACTGGTAGACTGGCCGGGTGCCCCCTTCCACAAGGCAAGTCAGGGTCATGTTTCCTACGTACTCCACCGCCCCCGAGGAAGGCTGAGTCTGCACCACTGGTTTTGTGACAGGATCTGCAACATGGAGAGAGAGAAATGGTTTTTACTGCCGTGACATTACAGTAAGAGTCTGTGAGATCTCTCAAATGTTAAATGCTGGGGAAATGATGCTACAGTTTTATACTTTGTCACTATAGACAGTTTGGGCAATAATTAAGGAAGAGAATTAAAATGTTATAGAAATTCAAAAGAATAAAATATATAAAAAATTGCAGCAGAAATAACCGCATTCGGAAATTTACTCTTCAGGGATTTTCTAACGAGAACATTTACAATAATGCAGCTAGTGGTAGGGAATATCAGCTTCCTTCTTTCCTATCTGTGTGCCAGCCAACACAGTAAAGGTTTATTCTTGCAGGCAGAATCAACCTGGTTCGTCTCCTCTCTGGGTTTGTCCTAAATCTCAAGAGCAGCTGGTGGGGTGGGTGGGGTGAATTCAAATTTCTATCTACCATTTGCAGAATATAAAGCTCATATATATTATACTTATGGGAAATTGAGGGAAAGTTTTAGAGAATCATATATGTACTAGTTACTATTCCTTTTATGTGAGCAAACTAATTATATGTTTTAATTGCTGTGCATTAGTGTAGCAACATTACATTTGCCACTGTAACAAACCAATGCCTACATTTCAAAACTGACTCAGTCTGAAAGTAGGATGAAATGTGTTACTGGGATTACATCAAATTGGAGATATAAAAGACAAATCCAACAGAAATTCCTGTTGGAACTTCAAGACCTAAGAAAATAGTTTTAGATCACAAGACTGATACACTGTAGTCACAAAATACCTGTCAAATGATTAAATTTCCAAGGATGAGTATATGTTTCTTCCCTGAGTTTTGACTCTGTGATGGCTGGTTAAGGGTGGAAATTATAAAAGTACTCGCAACCCTTTTCAGCAAACTTCATTAAATTTTGAGGTTCATAACTTTGTGTGATAAAGGACGGTGACTTGCCCAGAGGGTACATAGCAGACATGGCAAGACAAAGGGGGCATTAAGTCTGTCAGTGTTTCTCTCCGGCGTTGTGGAGAAATATGTGCTTAATAATCTTCTGTGTATGACTCACAGGGAGCCTGAGATGACGCGTAAGTGCAGATGATTGGCTCCAATATTAAGATTCCAATATTAACATTTCAATTTCCCATCAAGCTTTTAACTGGGGTTGATGTATCTTGGTCTTGACTCACATAATTTCTTATGCTGGAAAGCTGATGGTGAAACAAACAGACCCAAACCATGGGCCCAGAGGGGACAGGAAAAGCGGAAAGATCAGAAGGGAGTTAAAAGCACAGCCTGCAGGGCAACGGGGCAGGTCTGAAGCCTCCGCCTGCCTTTCTGGAGATGGGTGCAACCAACTTGCTTGTCTGTTTCATTTAATCCTTTATCTTTTCTGACAATAAAGGATTTGGAATAGCATTATTTAGATTATTACGATTAAAAAAATGAGTTGTGTACATTTAGTACAACAAAAAAGCCTATGTTCCAAATAAGTCTGTGTGTGGAAAAATACGTGGTCCGAGATAAGTCAAATAGGCAACACGCAGAAGGTCTCGAAAGGGGAGAATCCGCCATCAGAACAGATGTTACTATTGTAATCACACGTTTGCCTTTCACATTGTAGCTCAATGTGAAAGTTTCCCCAGAAGACTTTTTTCATGCTCTGTAGGCCTCATTAAGGCTTTTGGTTGCATTTCTCAAAACAGACCCAATTTTACTACACGTGAACAACTAATGGATGTCTTATTAAAAGTTTGCAGAGATAGGGTGCTACACAGGAGAATTCTATGAAAAGTCCCCCTAACATTTTCTCCTTTTCTTTCCCTGAGTCTGCTCTTCAGGCCTCTGCTTCCACACCCTGTGTGTCTGCCCCCACACATGCGCTCTGTGGTCTCCTCGCGTTCACCCCACAGGTACACCCCAAGCACCTGCTAATGGCCTGTGACAGGGTGAGGCGCCAAGGACAAAGCGGAAAATAATATGAAGTCCCTGCTCCCATGGACCTTATATTCTATGTGGGGAAGGGAAACAATAAACAAATAAAAATATATAATACTAAGCCAGTCAGAGAAAGACAAGTGCTATATGATTTCATTCACATGTGGAATAAAATGAACAAAATGAGGTAAAAAGCAAAGTAGAGACAGACTCACAGACGGCAGGCTGACAGGTTGGCTAACTGGGGTGTGGGGTGGAGGGATTGAGCAAAAAGAGAAAAATAAAGAAAAAACTCAGGGACATGGACAACAGCGTGGTGATTGGGGAAGGGGCGGGTGTGGGGAGTGGAAGAAGCTGTAAAGGGGATAAATGGTGATGGACGGGCGGAGACCTGACTTGGGGTTGGACACATTACAGGGCACAGATGATGTGTTATAGAACTGTGCACCTGAAACCTGTAGAATTTTGTTAACCGGTGTCACTCCAAGACAGTCAATAAAAAATAAAGTAATAAAACTATACATAGAATATGTTGCATGGGAATAGGTTCTATGAAAGGAACTCAACATAGATATTTGCCTGCCCCTCCCCCTTCTTTGGGAGCAAAGTTTTACTTTGTAAAACGTGGTCAGGAAAGGCTTCACAGTTAGAGTGACGTTTCGGCTGAGACCTTGGGGACATAGGGGAGAGAACCAGGCTATTATCCAGGAGAAAAGCCATTTAGGTAGAAGGGACAGCAAATACAAAAGTCTTAAGTGTGAGTGTCATTGGCCTGTTCCAGGAAGAACAGACTGAGGAGAAGGGAGGCAGGAAATGGGGTCACATAGGTGTCGGCTATGTTGGGGAGACCATGGTGGGCCTCGTAGGCCCTTGTTAGCACTTTGACTTTTATTCTGAGTGAGATAGAAGGCTTTGGGAGGATTTTAAAGTACAGGAGGCAGGAGCAAAAGCAAGGAGGCTAGGCGGCAGGCTATTAGGACAGCCCAGGCCAAAGCTGACGGCTGCTCAGCTGCTTGGGGTGGGGCAGTAGTGGGGGTGGGGCAGTAGTGGGGGTGGGGCAGTAGTGGGGGTGGGGAGAAGTGGTGGGACTCTGCATACTTGAGGGTGAGCCTGACAGAAGTGACTTGGGAACTGGATATGGGATGTGAGAGGAAGGGGGACAATGGTGATGGCAAGGTTTGGGCCTAAGCAATTGATGAAATGAAGTTGGTATTTGTGAGACTTTAGGAGAAATATTGTTAAAAAGTGTGTTTAGGGGGTTAGAGGGTGGAGGGACCAAACAAGAAGGAAAAGAGAATTGTGGACATGCACAACAGGGTGCTGATTGCAGGGGTGGGGAGAGGGATATAAGGGGGACAAATAGTTATAGAAAAAAATACAATAAAGTACATTAAAAATAAAAAATAAAAATGTGGGTTTGGAGAGAAAAAAAATGTAAAGTCAGGCTTTGGACATAGTATATTTGAGGTATACCACTTCAATACCTCAACAAGGAAAGCGGATGCCTGCAAGGTGGCTGACCCTGCTCCCTCTCGGAGGACCATCTCTCGCAACTTTTGCTGCTCCTTAAGTACAGTCTTCAAGCAGGGCTCATCCTCCCTCACACCGTGTGCCAAAGTAAAATTTCCCTGGGACATAATTAGAGCTCTTCCCAGGTACATTCTGCTACTGAGAAAATAAAATAGTCTCCCTCTCATTATATTATCAACCTTATACTGGATAGTTTCCAGGCAAACAAATGGGTTCTGCTTATTTCTCAATCACCCGGAGCTGGGCACTGTGCATGTCCTTTACATGCACGTCTTCCACAGTCCTCAGGACGCCCCGTGAGGTGGGTAGTGTCATTTGTGCTCCGAGACACTGAGGCTTTGCGGGTTAGTTAATTTGCCCAAAGTAGGAGAGCCAGGGCCTGAAGCCCAGCACTGTGATCTGAGTCACGGCTCACTTACTACCATGCTGCCCGGCTGCCCACGCCACTTACAGCAGACTCACCGTCAACGGTGACTTGTATCTTCTGACTAGCTGAGAGGGTTCCATTGCCTTGAATGTTGACCTTCACGATGTAATTGCCTTCATCAGTGAACTGCAGCGGGTTGATGCGCAGAGATGCGTTGGGTGGCATCATGGTGAACTTGTGTTGGTACTCCAGGTCGGGAACCACAGACTTGTTCACAGAGCCCAGCAAGTACTGGGGCATCGTGTGGTGTCTCTCAAACAGCCATATGATCTGGATGTCTGAGGCTGGCGTGTGGAATCCATAATGCACGGGGAGGTAGAGGGCCTGACCCCTGATGCCATGGATGGTGTGTGATGGCACCACCACCTTCAGCCCCGAGCAAGCGCCCACTACAAAGGAAAGGAAGGCAGTAAAGACCCTGAGCCGCATTTCACGGTCTAAAGAGGCAGTGCAGAGAGCAGCTGATCAGGCGATAACTCCTTTCAAAGAAGAGAGGCTTCCAGGCGCTGACCATTCTAGTACCGGTTACCGGTAGAGGTAAATATTTGTCTCTGAAGCCTTGTGCATTTTGAAAACTCCACCCAAACACTGTGTTGCTTGCATGACTGCTTTAAGGAAAAGCAGAAGTTATTATCTATGATGTTGAAGAAGAATGGGAAAAGGAGAACTGTGAGAGATTATTAGTTCTAAAGTCCATGAAACCTTTAAGACATTTGAAATTGTGACCATGTTAATATCTGAGTCATATCATATCCTAATCAAACTATCTGGTTCAAGAAACATTGAAGGGCTGTTTCCTCCCAAGAATCTTCTTCCAAAGTCTTCCAAAATGGATTGGTAGTCCACTTTTTGGAAGTTTTTCCTTTTAGCCAAAGCCCTCCCAAATGCAAAGATCCCCAGGAGAATGACGTTAAATCATTATCAAACATGATCAGTTATTCCTCCTCAGAGGCAGGAAGCTGGCTGGTGTGATTGAGAGATATTGAGAGGCAGGAGTAGAAGGAGCAGAGAGGAGGAAGGGCATGATAAGACGTGATGTCAGCAAGGTGGTGGGGGCCAGATCAGCCATGTGTCTTAGAGTCGTGGAAAACACTTTGGCAATTATTCTCTGAGTGAAGTGGGGATGCAACTAGAATTTTGTGAGCAGAGAGGAATAGGATCTTTTTTTTAAGGTATTGCTGTGAGAATAGATAGAAATGAGGGCATGAGAAGGAGGAGGAGACCACTTAGGAGGTGACTGCAATAAAGTAGGCAAGAGGTGGTTGTGCTGTAGACCAGGGTGGTGGTAAAAGACACCGTGATAGAAGACTGGTGGGGTGAGCAGGTTTGACAACAGATTGGGAGTAGATATATGAAACCAAGAAGAGTCAACAGTGATTCCAAGGTAGTTGATCAATTGGAGGAATAGAGTTGTTGTTTATTAATGGAGAGCTAATAAATTAATCATTGGGAAGACTGTGGGGAGAACAAATTTCCTGGGGGAAGATCTGGAGTCAGTTTTGGACAAGTACATTTTAGATGCTCACTGGACATTTAAGAGAGAACACTGAAAGGGTGTACTAGTCATGAAAGCCTGATTATAGTGGAGTGAGGAGGGAATGAGGGTCCCGAAGGGCCCTGGGGCATGGACCTCTGCCCAGTGCAGAGCCCTGGCTCCTGAACTCCTGGTTGCCTGGGTCCTTTTGGCCCAGGTACTTACTGCTGTGTCTGCAGGTTTCTTTGTAGTTTCTGGCACGTAGAGATCTCCCTATCTTTACCTTGAACCATGACACATTGTTTTACTTGATCTAGCATTTCTATGTACTTCCAATTGAAAAGAGAGTCTTCCTTAGTTTAGGCTACCATATTGCTGAAGTCCTAATTAAAATCTATTTACTTCAAAACCCTCATTTTTAGAAGTAGCAATGTGGTACCTGTATCATTTGCTACTGTATCATTTGCTACCTGGAACATTTGAAGTAGTGGAGGAGGGAATAGAGGAACTTACATGTGAAGTATTTTGAAGAGTAAGGGGAAAATGAGAGTATGGAAAGGAAACTGGAGAGACCTTGAGTATAGACAACAGGTCTGGGAGTTTTGCTGTGAAGAGGGGCAGGAAAATGTTTCTAGCCAGTGGAGTGATGCACTTGAAAGAGAAATCTTGACGAAGCAGAATACAGATGCCTGAAGATGAAATAAAATCCAAGGTGAGAAGAGATGGGAATTTGGGCACAAATACACATCTTACAACTGTTATCAAAAAGGAAGAGTCTGCCCAGCTGGCGCGAGCAGAGCCAAACACTAAACCCTGAAGACTGCAGGTAGGAAAGAGTTTCTTATGCATGGCACCCCACAGGAGAATTGGAAGCTAATGCTCAGAAGCCCAAACTCCCCAATGGCATAAGGTTACAGACTGTATAGGGCAAAAATCACAGACACAGTGGGTTAGAAGTTTAGGGTCATGTTGGGAGCTGATTGGTAATCAATCATTTCTTTGGGTCTTGAAGACAGCTCTGAGGTCCACTCTGGCATTCCTCTCATTCATGGAAAAGGAGAGAAGGGGTCATTCCACCTTCAGATTCAGGGGCTAAAATGTACCTTAGGTCAATACATCATCTTTAACTTAAAATACCTTGTGACCCTTGGTCAAGTCATGGTCATTGTTTCTGGCTGCCCTGGGCAGGTAATGATTTATAAGGGAAAGAGCCAAGGCTTGCAGGGCATGCTATGTTGGGGCTACATATAAGTTCAAAATTACACATTAAATCAGGTTTTGCAATTCCCATTTCCTCTTGTACAAAATGTTTATTATCTTTAATTGCTTCCCCTTTTCATCCCTAACCAGGAAGGGAATTTTTAAGCTTTATCTCAGTCTCAATCTTAGAAAGGGAAAGGTATAAAGTCCTGTTGTACAACGATTTCTTTGGAGAAAGTGAAAGACGCAGGCCTGCTCCTAGGAGGTATCAAGTTCTACTGGCAGTAAATTTCCCTTTTTCCTTCCCAGGGTAGAGGTGGGAACAAAGATTTTCATGTTTTTGGTCTCCACTAGCTGGTAGCAGGAAGTAAGACCCTGGGGCCAGCCGGGAAGTGGGAGCAAAGAACTCAGGAGAAAGAAGAAAGAGGAAGATCAGAGGAGGTGAGAGGGAGAAGGGACTCCCAGTTGCTCCACAGAAACTGACCGTATGGACTGAAAGTTAGGTGACTCTGTGGGAAAAATAAACAAGTGTCTTACATTCTGTCCTTGCCCTCTGTGTGTATTTGTGGTTGACTTGTGGACTTTTTTTTTTTTTTTTTTGATGATGGGCTGTACTCACACATTTATTTTAGTGATTTTGTCCATAACAAAAGAGTTACAAAGGTAGGAGGACTTGCTTCTGTTTTCCTTCCTGGAAAGTGCAAGAATGTTAAATCTGAATCTATAGAAAAAGAAGGGGCTGGTTGCTGGGATTCTAAAGAGGAGGTAAAGTGGATTGCAGGGAGGCAGTAATGGTTTCTGTAAGGCAATCATAACAGAGAGGAAGGAAGATGAGAGAGGACATCTGAGACGTGAAGCGGTGATGCCTGAGACATGTGAAGCCGAGGCTGACAGAGGGGACGAGGCTCCTGGAGTCATAGATTTTAGAAAGACACTGGGCATTTGGATGGAAGACCAGTACAGGAAAAAGTTCATTTCAGTGTAAGTGTTGTCTGCGTGAAACAACATGCATTCGCATGCCCCATCGTTGACATTGGTGCTAGCAAGCTCCCAACAAGTTCCTGGCAAGCAATAATAAAAATGAAGTTTCTAGTGCCTGTTATTACCTGTGTAAAATGCAGTTTCCACCACATGCAGGGTGTGTGGCTGTCTTCTCTCTTACTGCGGTGCACGTAATAATGCTTATGAGGGTTTCATCATTCACTCCTCATCTTGAACTCCCTTCCCACTATATAGTCTTAAGTCCATCACTTGCTAATTGCCTTGAAATGAGGGATTTCAGGAACCTATTCTCTAAATTTGCAGGGAAGGGCTACTTACTGTATTGCATACTTCGATAAAGTTAAAAATTCACCAAATGTGAGGTCTTAGTAAAGCACACACACTTAGGATAAAAATGGGGATCGATCGGGTCAGTGACCTTAGTAATCGTTTTTATTCTCTAGACCTCAGTTTCCTCCAGTGCAAGAAGGGGGTGATATTAGGTGAGGTCTAAGGCCTCTGTCACACTGATGTTCTCCACGTTCTGAGGTGCTTTCCTCAGGGTGGCAGGAACCTTACTTTTGAAGGTGAAGGGTCCATATTTAATGGAGACAGAGCACAGAGAATTTTGAAGTATTGAATCTCAGGTTTTAGTCCACTTAATACATTGCCAATCCCTGGGTATCCTTTAATAAAGGGGCAATTCTGTGTTCATAACCGAAGAAATCAAGGGGGGTGGCAGGAATCCACACCATCACTTTGAGGATGCCCTGGAAAAGCCGTGTGGCCGCTGACACAGAACTCAGGGGTTGGCTGGTTAGTCAGCAGTTTGGCCATCGATGTGCAGGTCCATTGAACACACTTCACAGCCCAGCTGGGGGCCGCTGCTGACTGGGGCATAGCCCTAGAAGCCCTGAGCGCAGTTCTGGCCAGTCTGTTCTGGTCTTTTGGGGGAAGTCATTGCAAAGGTCCTCTTTTTGAAAAGGATAAGAACCCTTTCTTATCTACATTTTTTTTTTGCGGTTGCGGTTGAAAAAAATGAACTGAGATTGTAGTATTCTGAAATGGTTCGGAAATGCTTAAGTGCTGTGGAGTGTCAGCTTTATGAGAACAGAAATTTGGGTGACTTCTGGGTTTTGAATCAGAATGCTGAATCCCAGTATGAAAGACTGATTAGAAAGCCTGTGACTGGAGTTGTGAGAAGTGAATTTTATTTCATAAGATATTACGTATGAATATTGTAGCCCAGGTAAAAGTGAAACCACTTTAGCAGAAAATAGCATTTTATATGGCACTTACAATATTGTTTATGGAGGGTGAACTAGTTCTTTGGACCATTTTAGAAACTGCCTCAGATTATAACACCTTAAATAACATATTGCCATTAATATCTCTGCATATATTCAATACTCATCACATCAATGATATGAAGTCATGTCATCAGAAAATTTAAAAATGTACGTGCAACAGAGAGAGCATGTAGCACAGCTTGACGATAGCTGTTTGCAGAGGGCACCTACGCCAGTTTTAATCAGACAAATCATAGGTAGTAAGTTATAAGAATGTCACCAAGGAATAAAATTTTATTTCAGCCACCTACAACCTTTCCATTCTGCAGGGAAGACATGAGTCTGTGGATATGAGGCGATCCTTACTTGCAGTGAACTTTGGAGCGTGAACAGGTATGAACAGACCATTGAATGCTTCCTCTACACCACAGGACCTCGTACTCTCTTGCCATTGCTGTATTTCCCCTACACGTGTGGTGACTCCATGTGTCAAACAGCAGTTAATTAACTTTTAAAAAGTTAGCTTCATTTTGAGTGTTTCTCAAGCGCTCTAGTTGTTTCTAGTTGTATGAGAAAACCTAAAAAGACTAAAACTATTGATTTTAGAAAGTCAACCTCTGAATGAACAAATAAACTTCAAAAATGATAGAAAATTGATGAAATTTTAACTTCTTTCTGATATTCCATATATTTTGACTTAAATGAAAATTTATTTCACTATTATTGTAGATTAAGACTTTTTCAGTATGAAAAAGGAAAACTCATGTGCTTTTTGCATATAAAGCACCCTAATCTGGAGAAACATTGTTAATACAATTAATAATCTGACATCAAAATTACAGCAATAATCTCCCTGGTAGAGATTCCCTTAAACAGTGTAGCAATGGTGTTTTAAAGGACTGTCCAGTGCCAAAGAACACCTGAAGTCATAGTGTAAAATGTATGTAGATTCCTTAAACAAAAGACTCCGTAGGCCACTATGCCTGTGTTGAACATAAACATCGAACTTCCCCAGTGACCTCTACCTGTAGCTCAAAATAGTTGGCACTTACTTCTCCATCACCATGCATGATATTAGCAAGCATAACACAGCTATTGTTGACTGAAAATAAACTCTTGCATACTTAGAAAAAATAGAAAGTATTCAGTTTCCCTTTAAATAGACTTTACAAACTACATTTTGGGCTTCAAAATTTTAACTTTTTGTTGTAAAAGAAAAAACCCTCAAACATAATTTAATATTCCAAAAAACAAAAAGATCCCTACATTCCCTGTGGTCTTTATAACACACCACTAATGGGAAAGGAAGTTTGTATAACAGGGCCTTAAGGGATAATAACTGCTTTAACTACTTATGAACATGCTATTTCTCCAAAGCATATTTAGCTAATTTTCTCAAGTGAACTGTCTCTAAGTTCTTCTTCAAGCCAATTACAAAAGCATTATTTATGAAATGACAGCAGTCCTACTGTTATAAATTAGCAATAAGTGGGGCGCTGACACACAGGATACTTTCAAATCACAGAAAAATGCACAAAGAGAAGGAGCCGGTTATGGCAGTTGTTTGATTTTTCTAAAAACAATGTCTGTATCAGTTTGAAGGTGACAACATATACCCTGGAACAATTGCAACTATGGAAAATGCAAACGCTTTCAAAAATTTTACCCATTGTACATTTCACATATGTGGGATATATACAACATCAAGTATAAATGTGAATAACAATCTCATTTACTATAATGAAATGTACCAGTAAAAGCAAAGCTCTAAACTACTGAAGAAGGCTAAAACAAATTGCTCATTTAACTAAGTTGCTCTTCAGATTTAAGAAATAGAATCTTTTAAAAACTCCTATTGGTTGAGTGTAAACAAGAAACGAACCTTGACTTTGAAACTGATAGATAGGAAGGCTGAAAAAGAGAACATCTGGTGAGAACGATGACACCCAGAAACGGTGGGGATGTTGGGGAAAGAGTCCTTTGAACACTGAGGATGAGGAGGTCGAGGGAAAAAACATTCAGGTGGAGGAAAGGTTTTTTAATAGGAATAGACATTCGGCAAGGAGGAAGGCTGAAGGCATTTTAGAGAAATAAGACTTTTAAAACCCATTTCTCCCTACTGTGTATAAAATATTCTTTGTCAGTGTGGAACCTCACCTTTTCCCATTCTTCATAAGATAGGTAATTTAAAATGAAGTAGAGCTAATAGTTTGCCACAATATCTTGAATAAAAACAGCAAGTAAACATGTTAAAAAATTGTCCTGAGTTTCACTACAAGCAGTCACGGACTTGTGGCCTCTAAGAATATTTGCCAAAATGCAATGTAGAGAGGACTATTGAACCCACATGTAGACTCTCTAAAAAGAAGAAATTCACTAGGTTTTTAGAATATTTTCCCTTTCCTAATGAGTGCTATTGACAATAATTGTCATCCTCAGAAAACAATAACCATCCATTTATTGAAATGTATTTCTCCTAAATATTCCTGCTACTTTGCTGTAACAAAGTGCGTTATTGTTCAAAAGGTTCTGAGCTGTTCTTCAATGATCTGAGTCAATCTGTAGCCTAAAGGAAATATGTACCTTAAACCCACAATTAAAAACAAAAACAAACGAACACCAGCTAAAACGCAAGTAGCGCAGTGTCTTACCTACGAGAAGGAGGTAGACTTTGCACTGGAAGGCCCCACCGGCACTGCCCAGAGGCTCCATGAGAGCATCCTGCCCCATGGACACAGTGTCCTGTTCCTGGTGGCACCTTGGTTCGTGGACTAGCAGCTGCTGGCTTATTTGCCAGGGAAATTAGCAGTGAGGCAACAGACCCTATCCTGCCTCTTGCTTCTGTGATTTGAATACAGAATGAATGTGTATACAAAGGAGGCAGGGAGTGGGAACACCTGTTTTATGTTCTGCAAGAATATGGGCTTATGACTTTCAGAACAGCTTCTTAGCATTTATCAGTAACTGTCAATATATTACACGAGTAATTCTTAGCTATTAATGATTACATGAAGAAAAACATCCTTTTGGGCTACTTTACTGAAAAACAGTATGCTTTTATAACGAGAGTATATTGTGAAATAGTCTGAAAGGCAAAAGCTGTTTTCCTATCGTGCAAAACTGTGCCATTATTTTTAAATTAATTTTTTTTCCACAAAAATTGAACTATTTCATAGAGCTGGTAAGCAGTTATAAATCATCATGAAGTGACTGAGGAACATGTAAAAATTATACCAAAGAATCAAAACAGAGCACCTGAATATCTTTAGAAATATATTTTTCTATGTAGTATTTCCTATTACAAGTTTCTGCTATGATTTTATTGAATCTACAATTTCATGGGTTTTTTTTTTTTTTAAAGCAAACCACAGGTGTGTTTCTAAGTAACACTGAATTATGGGCTGGCAGAGTTATAATGAAAAGCCTATGCCAGCAGATAACATCTGAGGCCACATCTCCACAGCTGAAGCACAGAGGAAATGAACCAATGGGCTGGAGAAGGTCTCACCATTGCTGTGGTGTCTGGGCCACGGCGTCCCAGCCCGGCCTCTTCACTGCCATGGCAGCAGGTGGCCTGAACATTTCTGCTTCAGTTACTAAGTTATAAGTTAACTCTCATTTCATTTCATTTCTTGTAAGAAGGCTCTAGTCCAAGCCTTCTACTCTATAAAATAAAGAAGTATATAAACAAACCCTCAAATTGAGCAAAATTCCTTGCATTAATTATTTTTAACCATAAAGGCTCACTGAAGAAATTAAGTGATAACAGATAAGGAAGACTATTCCTCAAGTGTAATCGAAGGAAACAAAAAAAAAGAATGATAATTATTTTGGATTTCAAGTTTGGAAACACTTCTGTGTTCAGGCTCCCAGCTCTTCCGGAAGTGCTTCTGTAGGGAGAGAGAGTGACTGTTGGAGGACCTGAAGCCTCTGCAGAGGGCACTGGGTGATCTCTTCGTGCTTGGGAACAAGGGCAGGAGCTCCCCTAGGTCAGTGCTGCACCACGCCTTTCTCGGAGCTGCACACGTGTCTATTGCGGCACACGTCTCGTTAACCTCAGTGAATTCATCGCATGTTTACTTTCCCTCTGGGCTCCTGGAATAGAGACCAATCTTATTCATTTATGAACCCTTAACACCTAGCGTAGTGATTAACTAGTATTTTTGTTAAGTTGTTCCCCTAGAAATAAACCCCACGTGCTCTTCAGCCCATGTCTTCCAATTCTGAGTTCAAGCTTAAGAAATGTATGTAAATTTTAATATTGTGTTGCACAAAATACGATTTGGAAAGTAACATGGAAATTCTATAGATTTCATATGGACTAACCCTCACATTTTAAAAATCAATATTAATCTCCAATCGCCTTTATTAAAATAAGCTCTTTCCAGTTTCAAACCCAGTGCTGGCTCATAATAAAGTTTTTTTGGGTCCTACACAACATGAAAGAAATAAATACAATGTAGTGATTTCTTCCTAATTTTAAATCTACTCAACTAAAGGAGTACATTTTATTTAGTTTTTTTTGTATCCTTTGTGTTATATTTTAAAATTTCTGACATAGTTGATAACAAGTGCCATGTAAATAAATTATAAATAAATAATTGGTACATAAATAATATTACCAGTAAATAAGTAATTGGTAAATAAGTGCCAAAATTAATCATAGCTGTAATCTTTTTACGTCATCATGGCAGACATCAAAAAAAGTAACATTACTTGTGTGGCACAACTTCCTAAGGTGCTACTTGGCAGATCATGACACAGCGCCCTCTTGTGGCAGATGTCAGGTATAAAATCTTACCTGCGGGAGTATCTGAAATCAGGATGTTTACACAGGAAGCCTTTACAGGTAATGTTAAACTATAACTTCAACCACTGTAAATGTTTACATGATTGTTAAAAATGGTTTAAAGTGTTTAATAATTATAGAAAATTTCTCGCCATCCATGTCTTACATTTCACTTGTAAACCCCTGGGGAGCTCTGCTCTACCATTCTGTTCAGGAGCCTGTTTATTGATCTTAGTTATATTTGCATTTGCAATGAAAAAGTTGATGAGTCTAAAACAATTTATATCCGTGGTGATTACATTTCAAGCAATGCAAGGAGCCACTGGGGGTAGTGTGTGGGGGAGGGTGGGGGTGGAGAGAGAGAGAGAGCAAGAGAGCGAGAGGAAGAAGTTGGCAAGAAGGTTGAGGGCTTTTGGTCACCTCTCAAGTCACACTATAATTTACTACTTTTAATCAATTGTAAGTAAGTCTGGTCTTGCTTTATAAAGCAAACAGTCTGCTACATTCATTCCAAACATCCACATTCTTTACTTATGAGTAGCATATGAGTAATTTGTAATGGGAGGAACAATCGGAAAGGAGAGACGATGAACTGAGAAGTTAATGTAGAACAGTGAGGACTAAGAAGAACTGGGAAAGGAAGCACCGTCTTATGTTGGAATAGATTGATCCTAGGAATGCTTACACTTTATGGGGAAGGGCTGGCTGCTGGAGGAGGCCAATGCTACCCCTCTGCTTGTGCTGGTGTGCACTTCTGTGTAACTACGTCTACGGGGCCGCAGCCCAGAAACCTAGGTCTGCTGATAAGACTGCTCAATGCCTATGCAGCAACAGCTTCCTTCCTGGGTTCCTCTCTAGGTCACTGTTTCATCTTCAGCAAGTATTCTGTTCTCTGCTACTGCTTGCTCAGGAAGTGCAGTGGTCATCATCTTGCAGTGGTCACACCTTTCCTCTATTTTGATAGTCATAGGATGATTAGAAACACGTCTTCTTAATCAAACCAATCTCAGCTTTTATTTGAGCTTCTATGGTCTCCTCCTGTTTGGACCACCAGAAATAGGCCCTTATCCTATTTCACTGCTAATGTTACTACCCCAGATCAGGTCCACTGAGCTCTCAGGCCTGATGTTCCAATCTGCAAAAACGGGGCCAGCACGCCTTTATAAAACGAGTATCATCCAGCAAGCTTTCCTCAAGACTTGTGGGCGGGCCACCCATACTACCCACTACTGTGCTCTGGCCTGCCACCAACAGCCTTCAGGCAAGTGTGCAAGTCCTAAATAAGCCTTATATATGTATTTTTGGAAAATGGAAATGAAATAATGTGCTTCACCTTTTAAAAAGTGCTCTTGAAGTTTGTATTTTCTTTATGGCCATTAAAAATGCATCATGTATAGCTCAATTATTTTCTATAGTGTTAGGGTATGTTCAATTAGAAAATATAGTTTATTTAGAGAATATGGTTTAGGCAATAGCACTGGCTTGCTTCATATTTTCAATATTACAATCACAGCCTTTGAACTTTCAGAAGGCTGAACTGTTCATTTCTTTTTAGTTTATAAGAAATAAAGTAAAGTGTATAGTATTAGAGTAAAACAAAAATTTAAAGCTTTTTTGCTTTTTCAGGGTCAAATTGGTACAGAAAATACCCACTTCCCAAAATCTGGCTGATAGAAAAAAAATACACTGAATAAAAAACTTTTTTGGGGGGTGGTTTGGGTCTGGATTTGGATGTGCATTCTAGTCCTGGATCAATCTCTAATGAAATGTGTGGCCTCAACAGCTTAGGTGGGTAAATTTTCCCATTTTATAAAGAATGCATTTGAAAGGCAAAAGCTGGCTGGCTGTAAGAATCACTATTTTTTAAACACAGAACCCCAAAGAGAACAAAAACAATACCACTTCACAGCGGTGAGAATGGCCATCATCACAGTGGTGAGAATGTTGTTTGTTGATTTGGTTTGTTGTTAACCAAATCAACAAACAACAACTGCTCTGTGAGGATGTGGAGAAAAGGGAACCCTAGTGCAGTGTTGATGGGAGTGCAGACTGATGCAGCCACTGTGGAAAACAGTATGGAGTTTCCTCAGAAAACTAAAAATGGAACTGCCTTTTGACTCGGCAATTCCACTGCTGGGTTTATACCCTAAGAACCCTGCAACATCAATTCAAAAGAACCTATGCACCCCAATGCTCATAGCAGCACAATTTACAATAGCCAAGTGCTGGAAGCAACCTAAGTGCGCATCAGTAAATGAACGAATCAAAAAACTATGGTACATTTACACAGTGGAATACTATGTAGCAGGAAGAAAGAAGGAGCTCCTACCCTTCCTGACAGCATGGATGGAACTGGGAGCATTATGCTAAGTGAAAAACAAGCCAGGATGTGAAAGACAAATACCATATGATCTCACCTTTAACTGGAACCTAGTTTACAAAACAAACAAGCAAGCAAAATATAACAAAAGAGACATTGAAATTAAGAACAATCTGATAATAACCAGAGGGGAGAGGGGAGAGGGGAGGGAATGAAGTGGGGAAGAGATCTCAGTAACGTAGACACATGGACATAACTAAGAGGGGGTGGAATCAGGGGAGGGAGGTGGGTGTGGCTGGGGTGGTTGGGAGTGGTGGGGGGAAATGCAGACAACTGTACTTGAACAATAATAAAATAAAAAAATATATAAGTGAAAAAAAGAACAATGGCACACTCCTCATGTGAATATAAAAGTTCAGGCTCAAAAACTGCTGAACTTGCTTTTCACCAAAGTTGTAAATTCCTTGAAGACCACAACTGTGTCTTAGAATCTAAAGTGCTTCTAAAGTGTTTGGTATCCTTCTGTCTCATGCCCAGCAATTGACCACTGTTTACTGAACTGGGTTTTAGTTTGTATGTTAATATAATCAGCAATTTCTGGTTTTTTGATGCTTTTAGGAACTTCTAAATCTGAAAGACGAAACACACACTGAGATCTGTCTGGCAATTAAGATGATAGACAAAAAATAAGAAGAAGAAGAAAAAA